TCAAGGATTTGTATTTCTTCTAACAGTAAGTATTTGTTATTTACATTGAAACATAACTCTTATGATTTTTTTGTTTGATGTATTGACTTTTGCATACATGTTGATGGCGTAAAACATCCCCAGCTTTGGTTTTACGAGCACACCTCTCTTTTAACTCCTGATGCTCCTGACGCTAGACCTCGCATGCTGAGGTGACCAACCAATCATGGGTTGAGTGCTGAGAAGATTCATGAAGCCTTTTTAATTACATCTTATTGACACATCTTTTTAGTAGTTTTCTAAGAGTGATTGCAACGATTCTGACGAATACATTTTCATTGTAGGTTAATGACGAATTCTTAGCTTTGAGTGATGATGCAGTACAACTCCTCGAAAATCCAGAGCAGGGACCGCTGATCCCTGCAACGCAACTGCAACTTCCACATCACAAAAGTACTGCATGACCATCTTCACCTAAATCATATGTCAGGGGTACAATTGTTTCTAGTGATATAACCCAGTACCTGGACATACGACGGAGAGTGCTGATTTTGGGGTACTGTATGAGATGCTAAAATCTCAGGAACAAATAAGATTAATTATACAAGAAACTATTACTGGTATGAGTGCACAGATGAATATTGTGGTAGAAGCATTGTCCACCCTGACAAATTTTGTGCATAGATTAGTTGAAACCAAGGCTGAGAACTTCGCTGAGAAAACAATATCCGATATAAGTAAAAAGACCAGCAGTAGTGGTCATCAGCAAAAGAGGAAAGTGGACCCCCCTGCATCTCAATCCCCAATACCAGTTTAAGAGAAGACGTAGAAAAATTGATGATGTAGATATTGTTGCTCCTGTAAATATAGATGTACCTGAACAAACAATAAGAAATATTGATGTTCCCGTACAGGTTGAAGACACCGAAGAACCATTAAGAGAAGCACAAGATGCAGATCTGTGTGAAGAGACAATCCATGAAGACCCTGAAGAAGTGGAATTAACAATAAAGGGTGTTCTTGAATCTCTGACCTAATCAGTAAGTACGTCATTCTAATTTGTACTTAATGATATACATTCTTACTTTATTTTTTCTAATAATATTTTTTTAGACGCGTCTTTTGACTTATGATGTACATACTGATTCAAAAAAGGGTGATTCCCAAAAAGTCCAAGTTTCAGATGAAGAAATCTTAGATGCACCCGGGTATCAGCAACTTTCTAGTCAAAGCCCCAGTTCTAATGCAGACCAATATGCTATAGTTGTAAGAAAATATATATAGCTAAGTGCTTTGAAGCATATCTTATATACTCTTATTTTGTGTTATCCATGGATTGTTTTATTTTGCAGCTACGTCCTCCGGTTTCAACTATTGAGTATCCTGGTAGGTCATTCATACCAATTGAAATGCAGGAAGAAATAGACTAGTGTCTATCCAGATACATCGGAAGGTAAGTAAATGTCCAACACTCTTTTAATGTTATGCAGATTTGTTGTATTTAATGTATTTAATTAAGAGGAACTCTCTTTGTTGTCAATCTAGTGACATTATCATTACCAGAGACCATATTTTGATTCACCGATCGGCACTGGAGGACATATTATTAAATAAGTGGCTTGCAGACGAACATGTTGATATATTTGTTGTCATGCTGCGCGAAAGAACTTTAAGGAGACTAGAGTTGAACCAACCTTACATGTATGTTTCACCAATGTATGGGGTATGTTCTACAACTTATATTTAGTCATACAAGTTAAATTCATACATTCCTTGCACATTTAAATTAATATATTTATGTCAATGCATAAGACATATGATAGCAAACCTTATGTGAAACATATCACCAACGAGGCCGTAAAAGAAATAACAACCATTTTCTTTCCAATCATTCATAATCAACATTGGATCTTGTTGGTTCTAGATCTCAAGTTGAGAAAATGACGAATATACGACTCACTACCTAACCAAATATATAAGGCTGACGCTATGGAAGTTGTAAGTATATTCAACTAAATTGAAAGTAACACAATTGCATTCGAAGATTAACACAGTAACGGCAATAACATCTCAATATCATGCAGGTTAATATGTTTGCTAGAGATGCCGCTAATTCATTTACATCCAAAATCAATAAATGGTTCCTATCGATTACAAAGAATGTACCAACATAAAGGAATAGTTTTTATTGCGGCATGTTCGTCTGCAAGTACATGGAAACTCTAGTGCGGGGCGAAGAATTCGACTGGAGTGCACATATGAACTAGCAGGATCATATGGAATGATTTAGAGCAGAATTTATTTATGACATGTGCTTATTTTTTAGGACTTCTGATTAAAGTTGTATATTAAAGTTGTATATTTTTACTTTGCATATTTTGTTGAGGTAACTGTATATGTAATAGCTTCATGGTTACTGTATATTGATTATTTGTATAGTTTATTTACTGGTTGAGTGTAGCTTGTTGAATGTTGGTCAACTGCCTTAGTTTATATCTTGGCACAATGTTTATAGCTAACTGTTAGTATTTTTTGTATAAGACTTGAGTAACATGTTGGTCAACTGCCTTAGTAACACGTAATTCACATGTCGTTTACACGTTGAATAACACGAGAGTAATACCTAGATAACACGACAATAACACGAGAGTAATGCATCTGCTACATCCTGAGTAACATGGGAGTAACACGTGGATAACACACGAGTAACACGAGGGTAACGCATATGCTACATCCTGAGTAACACGTGGAAAACACGACAGTACTACGAGAGTAATGCATCTGCTACATCATGAGTAACACGGGAGTAACACGTGGATAACACGTGAGTAACACATATGTTGCATCCTGAGTAACACGTGGAAAACACGACAGTAACACGAGAGTAATGCATCTACTACATCCTGGTAAAACCCTGGTAAAACGGGAGTAACACGTACATAACACGAGTAACACGTAGATAACACCCGGAGCCAATAAAACATTGCTTTGTAGTTCCTCAAACTCAATCATTAAGGACCACGTTTCTTCGAACTCATCCTCAGAATCACACTTGCTCAAGCATTTATAGAAAAGACCACAGACACTCTTAGTACGCACTCCAAAGTGTAATTTGGAAGGCAGTTTCTTGTAGATATGTCATTGACATAATCTATGACATGTTTGTGGGAGACATTCTGCAATGGCTCTTGCCATTGCTTGATCCTGATCGGTAAAGATTGTTATGGGATGTTTGTCTCTCATTATTCAAATGAATGATTTGAATAGTCATGTGAATGATTCAGTAGTCTCATCAGACAAAAATCCAACTCCAAACAGTACGTTCTGCTAGTGGTGGTTAACCCCCACAAACGGAGCACATCATAAGTTATATTTATTTAATCTGTAGTTTGTATAAAAAAATTATCACATCATCGAAACAGTCATAATCTAGCCTAGATAATCCATCACTCCAAAAAATGCTTGTTAACCTACTAAGCAAACATATTGTCCCCAGCTTGTCTCTCCATGAATAATTGTATTAAAGCATTGACATCTCCCTGTTCAATTTTTTGTCTTCTTTCTCTCTGGATAAAATTAAATGCATCTCTCTTGGCGCATTCCAAATTCTCCACACCACCAACCTCCGTGGCAATGAAATTATATGCATGTGTCGCTCTGATCCCTGAACCTGTCATTGATCTCAACACATCTGCATTCAACTCACTTATCCTTCTGCTGGAACGAAGAAGATGTTTATCACCACTTTCAACCAAGGGATGATTGTAATTTTCAATGAATTTCGCCACTGTCCAATTGCCTTCAAAATCAACAGCAAATCAAACCATAACCTTACAACCAGTACTCGTGTATGCTTTTCTGAACTTAACTGTGTTGTTAGACTCTTCCTTGTAGCCAGCTTTTTCACAAATATAATCTTTCTTGGAGTTCGGTCAGTAGGCAGTACGGTTCTTCTGAACAGTGAATCCTACGTGATGTGCATAGGCATGATAGCTTTCATATGCTTCTTGCTCATTGTGGAATATGCTGGCTAAGAAACTTCTCTGCAATTGGATCATTGCAAAAGTGTGTTGCCTCAGAGGACTGCATAAAATAATGGTGACATCAGTAACACCAGAATAACACAAGGGTAACACAAAAAAACCAAAAGCCTAAAACCATAGTAACAAAAAAAAACCATAATAATATCAAAGCACACTGTAGAATAACACCCAAAAGATACTACATCAACACCTACGTTTACATGTAATAACACCACAGTAACACCAGAATAACACAAGGGTAACACCAATAAACCAGAAGCCTAATAGCATAGTAACGAAATAAAAAACCATAATAATACCAAACTATACTGTACAACAGCATCCAATAATACTACATCAACACCTACGTTTACATGGAGTAACACCACAGTAATGTAGAACAACACCCAAAAGATACTACATCAACACTACATCAACACTACTACATCAACACCTACGTTTACATGGAGTAACACCACAGTAACGTCAGAATAACACAAGAGTAACACAAAAAAACCAGAATCCTAAAACCATACTAACGAAAAAAATAAACCATAATAATACCAAACCACACAACAGTAACACCAAGACTCACTTGGTATTAAACCCTAAACCACCTCAACGGTACTAAATCAAAGGCAAGAAACAAGAGTAATAGCAGAGTAACACCAGAATAACACAACAGTAACACCAAGACTCACTTGATATTGATCTTCAAAGTTCAAGCTGAATGATGGCATCTCAATGTTCATGGAGACTTCCGACATCTCAACGTTCATGGAGAAATCGACTTCCGACATCTCAACGTTCACGGAAAAATCGACTTCCGGCATCTGAACGTCCATGGAGAATTCCAACAATACCTAGCTATGGCGGAGCTGTGACCGGACCTGTGAACGGAGCTGTGAACAAAGGTGTGAAAAAACTAACGAAATATTTCTTCACCCTTAGAATAGAACAACAACCTGACCCGAAATAATTTTATCATGACCGGATTTCTTTTCAAAATTCGGGTTTAGGGCCGGGTTCTTGGCTGACAGTTCAAAAAAAACTCCGGACGCGCTCGCCTCCGTCCTTCCCGCCGTTTATCGTCCCCAAATCCAAATGGCGGCCAGCCTTCTTCCTTTGTTCATATGCTTGAGACCTTCCCTTTCAGGGCCAAGTTCTTGGCGCCGTCAGATTAGAATGCCACGCACCGCCCTCGCTGCCAAATTTCTACCATCTCCCCCACGTGGTGTATTTCTTATCCGCGACCGAGCTTATCTTTTTATTTTCCTTTTCTTGCTTTAGGTTTTTATTTTTGTTTTTTTTTCCTGGGAAATTTGGCAGTGGGAAAGAGCCACGAGGTGCGAGGCATTGATAAGCACAACGAGCATGAAGGACTCCCTGAAGAGTTTCTTGATGCTGTATGTTTCTAATACTTCTCTACTTATCTTCCAAAGTGTTACTTGTAGCATTACTGTCGATATCTATGGGTTGTCTTTTAGGCTATTTGTTATATAAGTGGTTTCCATGCCCTGAAAATTTCATCCTAAACAAACTACAGAATGGGGGAAAGAAAAAAAAATTAGTTGGTAATGTGGGTTGTAGCCTGTAATTCATAGTTGAGTGGCACATGGGAGAAGTGTGAGCTGATGAAGAATATGGGTTTCTTGAAGCTTAACATTCAGACTTATATTCGAGCTTATGTTTGGAGGAAAAGGCCTCCATACACGAATGTTAAACATTTTTAAATTATATCTGCTCCCATTAACTATGCGTGTATGTTCTAGTTTGTACTGGAAGTGATTCTGATACTTGCTGTTATGGAATAGGATTTTGAGCTAACTATGCTAGTCGTCATCATCTCATTAGCAAAATACTAACTTTTGTAGATGGGCATTATGAATCTCCATTCTCAATTCATTTTTATTTAGTGTTGGATAAGTTGCTAAATTTATTCTATGAAAATGCTTTTGCACAACTTCTACCCATGTTGAGTTTGGTCTTTTGTTCTTAAATCCATTCTATGCAATATTGCACTACTTTTATCCATGTTGAATTTGATCTTTCCATTTTTCTTCCCAATCTCTTAACATTAATTTTATTAATACATTTCGCGACTACATTTTCTACCTTTAGTTATATATGTCTTAAGCACTTAAGTCAATCTCGACTATCTTTTCATCAACATATATTATTACCCTTGATTGACTTTGATCATTAGCACAATCGCGAGGGTGGATATTATTAATCTTTATTATCTATTCATTTTTAGTTAGCGTTGCATAAGGTAAATTTATTCTAAGCAAATGCTTTTGCATGGTTTTTAGCCATGTTTGTTTTAATCATCCTCTTTTCTAATCTTTTAATATTAATTTTATCTACACATCATATAAGTGTATTTTTTACCCCCAATTGGGGTTTTTAAAATTGTGCTTCTCGCACAAAGCGTCGAAGTGCCACTTTGCGCAGCAATCATGTAGTGATTGTGCGAAGCTCGTGCTTCACATGAAAAGCATGATTATGCCCTTGTGTGAATTTTGCTTCAATGTGTATCAAAGTGGTGGGAGAAATTTTGTGGGTCATAGTCGGAATGAGTTAGCGGATCCTAACTTGAGTCAAATGGCTAACCTAATCTAAAACTACTTGATGCCGGTTTGTTTAGTGCTTCAAATCCACAACTTTTGCAAATAGGTGAAACATGCTTCAGCCCCAATTTCGTGCGACTTTTTCATCAGACTGAGCCACCAAGCCTTGACACAGAGCTTGAGCTAAACTTGACCTCAATCGACTCAACAACAATCACAAGCTTGTTCTCCATGCTTCAATGCCACCATTGATCTCCAATGAGTATAAGAATCAATTCATAAAGAAGTTTATTTTGTAAACATTTTGACCTTCAAGTATAAAGAATCTTTTTTCTTACATTCCATTTTGTTATATTGTTTTTTGGATTATGTGGAGACAACCATAGATTTGCCTTTTAATGCTTTAACAATACAAATGTTTTTTTTTTTAATAGATTTAGAGGAGGAAAAATGTAATAATACACGTGATGATTAGAGTTGTTTTTAAAATGAAAAGATGATTACACTTATTTTGATAATTAACAATTTTATTTGCTTAAATGATTTTGTGGATCATTTTAGTGATGAAATTAGAATTGATTAGTTGTTATTTTTTGGCATACTGATATATTGTAGTTTTTTCTTGATATTGCCACTAGATGACGATTAAATAATTAAGGACACTTTATTGCTTTATTTACAATCAAGAGTATTGCATTATTATTATTTGATTAATATCTAATTATTGATCAAGTACTTTTTTGTTTCACACCATTTCTTGATAATGATTACTTAGTTATATCGTATTCAAATACTATGAGAAAATATCCATCTTGGAGATAAATAGTTGAAATTCGAGTCGAACACTCCGTCACCTATGCATTTATTGTGATAAATAGATAAACAAAGATATACCTCGAGCCAATGAGCACATTATCAATCTATTTGGTGCATTCAGAAGAAATATTATAATTAATTGTAAGAAAGTGCCTTTGGATATAAAAGAATACTTGCTTGCTTATCAAGAAGTTTAAAAAAAAAATTAAACATGATTTATGTATGGAACCTAAAGCATCAAATATTCAATTGCATGTGAGCTATGGTAAGAGAGTAATTGAATTGAGTTTTGGATCGAGTAGCTTTAATGCATATAAAATGAAGAGTCTAATGGATTATTTCTTGTTTAAAGAATTTGAAAAAGATATTGCAAGAAAGAAATTTATGAGACAAATGAGAATGAAAAAAACAAATAAATAAGTGAATTATAGATATAGCTATATATAGATTCTCAGATGGTTCTATCAAGTAGGAATACCTTCCAATATAATAAAATTTGAGAATTTTTATAATATGATAGAGCTAGTTGTAATTGAGATCAAGCCTTTGAATATTATTTTATTATGAGTCAAGAGTTCTTCTACTTGATATTCTCTCAACATACAATACTTATTAGGTGCTTCTATATTTTAATAGTCACCTTAATTTAAGAAATTACAATTTTTTACAAATCGGATTGGACATACCAGTTGAACCGGTTCAGTGTGAACCTATCTTCTGATCAGCTCAGTCTTGGACAAAAATTGTTTCTACAAAGAACCAACCATAATTGGCCAAAACGGGCAGTTAAATTGAGGAATTGGTGAATCAGACTAGTCTTTTAAAAACCGACCGGTTTTAATAATTTTAGCCTTTTGATTTTGATCCTGTTGTTGAAAATAAAATATTTAGATTAAAAGTTGAGAAAATGATTAAAATATCATATCTCAAAATTTTAATTTAAAACTGTTTTCACAATATTTAGGAGTTAAGGATCCTAAATCAAAATATTATGTATTGAATTAGTAAAAATATCTATTTTATCTCAGTTTAAATCATTTAAATTAAATTAAGAAAATTTAATATTTATTACGTTGTTCGATTCAACTCTTGTTGAATTTGTTAACCTTGAACTTTTTTTTTATTTGGTTCAATGTCTGATACGGTTTTAACAACCTCGAGAAATTATATTCTCAACTGTTTTTTCATTCATATGCATTATACATTCAAACTATTTAAGCCTTTTATACTTTGGTATCACTTTATTTATTTAGTAACATGGACAAATAGTTTTAATATCATATCATTACAATTATATATCATATACCCAGTGTCTGATCTACAATCCTAAGCCCTTTTAACTTTTAGATGCTTTCTACATAGTGCCAACTATTTGCATATTTCAACAAACATTTCACTGCAATATCACTTGGAATTTTCTGTCTTAATAACTCTTTAATCTTGATCTTTTTTGCTTTAGCATGTACTTCATAGTTAATCATACTTCACTCTCTCTCTCTCTCTCCTTTTAATGCTCTACATGTTACGAATTTCATTGAAAACTATCATTCTGCAATATCTTGTTACCTAAAGGTTAATTTGCTGAATTTTGCATGTAATCTCTTGTATGCGAATGGCCGTGCTTTCCATGCGACCTTTTCCTTATTATTTTGGTATAAATATTAAAAGATTAGAGTTCTTCAAATTTCACCAATAAGTCTGGTGTTTTCCCATGATAATTGCCAACCTTTTCTTATATTGTGTTCTATCATGGGTTGTTTTGGAAAACTAATTACGACTTTCTGAATTATTGAAGCAAAATGTCGATAAATTGATTTTATTTTAATATTCTTTCCTCTTCTGAAATAAGCTTTTTTTGTTTTTCAAATACTGTTATGCGCATTTTTTTGTAATGATCAAAATACTGTTTCAAGGACCTTACTTATATCTGGATATGTGGAATTGACTTTTGTCTTGCTAGGAATGGCAAGCACAACAGAGGGAAAAAACCCGGGAATGGCATGCTTATCGTAAAAAGGAAGAAGAAAAGGAAAAAATGAAAGATGATGAATATCGTGAAATAGGTCTGCGTCTGAAGGGGTATCCCGAGGACGAACTTAGGGAGGCAAGGAAATTAGTTTCGAGTTTTATAAGAGCTGAAGAAGAAGTCGAAGCAGTAAGTACTGCATGTTCCATTTTTCATACCTAATGAATTGGACCCTGATTCTTATGTGGGTCTCGTTGGTGGCAACAGCTCAGCATGATGCCCCAAACAAACTGGATTTAAAAAAACAAGGTTTTTTATGTCTGTAGCAGTAGTGTTAAATGAAGGTGAATTTCCTATTGAACATCTCAACACTATAGTAGATTTAGCAGGCTCAAATATGGCTATATGTACGATTAAATTTAAATATATCCCATGCATTTGACATGTCATCCACAAACTACTAACATGATTTATTTCTTTTAGGAGTAAGAAAACAAACTCAGTTTTGTCCATTCGATATAAATTATTGGTTTGCCATAATTAGTCCATGACGCCGTTTTAGGGCTCCTAGATGGTGTGATAAAGCACAAAAGGTGTTGGAGAGGCTGTAGGATTGATACCGGGCATGAGAAGATGGAAAGAGGCTGATAATTGGTACGAACGGCGGTTGGGACAGCGAACTGGGTGCAGAGGCATGCATATTCCTAGCTAGTAACTGTGCCCTTGATACCTATCCAGCAGGAAACAGCGGATGGATGGAAAATCAGCGTGGTACGGACGGTGAGAGGGATACATCATCTGTTCCTAGACAAGCTATAGGAACACCACTTGCGAAGGGAAGAGGCTACTGCACTCCAGAGAGTGAAATCAGAGAAAAATCTCTCAATATTCAGAAACTCAGAAAACAAAAATCCCAAAAAATCAGCTAGAATGTAGAAACTTTCCTAGTAGAAAAAAAAAAAAAACTAGCCTAATTGGAAAATAACAAAATTAGAAAGGACTAGAAAGAAAGGAAGGAAAGAATGAAATTTGCAGAAATAAGGAATTAAGAATAGAGGATGAATGCGACCAGTCTCTCACAATCACAAGACTATCACGATCCCGCATATTGCGGGATCCTGCGATATTGCGACGCAATAAATATGCTCCCGGGTAGGAGAGGCTTTTCCCTCGCCTCCAGAGACATTCGGGTACTTGTTGCATGACGACAAATTGACAACATTAAAAGTAACAAAAATATTGTAATATCTCGGCAGGTCAATATTGTAGGCATTGTTTTTAATCTTCTTAAGAATTCTGAATGGAACATCAACTCTATGCTTGAGCTTTCCAAAAAAAGATCCAAGAAATCACTCATTTTTTAGCCTAACCTGTACCATTTCCCCTTTTTTGAAAATCATAGCTTTTCTAAACTTGGTCTGTTTTTGGTACTTGGTGTTTTGCTTAGCAATTTTTTTTCCTAACCTGTTCTTGTAAGTTTTGAGTATTCCTTACTTGAACCTCAGTGTCAGTGCTAAGCTCAATAGCGGGTAGTATAGGGATCAACTCTAGAGGCGTAAGAGGGTTCCGCCAGTACACAAGCTCAAATGAACTGTGACCTACGGATTGACTTGTTGAACGATTACAGACAAATTCTACCCAAGGAAGAGCCAAATTCCATTACTTGATGTTCTTTCCCACAATGCATCTAAGAACGTTTCCAAAATTGTGGTTTAGAACCTTGAACTGTCCATCAGTTTGAGGGGTGAGCTGCTGAGCTGAACTAAAGCTTCATACTTAACTTGCCCCATAAAATTTGTTTTTGAAGAAGAGATATCCATGTGATCGATGATAGTGGTTGTAAAACCCATCCTAACATTGGATTCTTATCTTGAAAATCATCATATGTCGCATACAAGTTTTTCAGCACCTCAAATCCAATGACCTTAGATTGCAATGCATCAACTACTTTATTTGAACTTGCTGTCTTGTGTTTGAGCATAAAGTAAAATGATTAAAGAAATTCCACATGAGGCATGTTTGCTATTTACCCTATTTTAACTATTCAGAAATCTCAGGGTCTCGTGATCAACATTGGGGTAAGTTTATTTGCCATCAGGTAATAACTCCAATGATTAAGAGCTCTCATAATGGCATGCAATTTTTTGTCTTAGGTAGAATATTTTCCCCTTGAAACATCCAATTTTCACTGAAAAAAGTAATAGTGTCCTCCTTGACTTAGCATAGCTCTCCCAAATTAGGGGCATAACACTCTACCCCAAAAACTTAATTGAAATATGAAAATGCGAGAACAAGAGCTCGAGTGAACTATTTCTTCAAAGCATCAAAACTAGCCTCAACATCATCCGACCATGCAAATTTATTTGACTTAAGATGCTCTGTCAAAGGTGCCATGATCGAGTTGAAATTGTTTATAAAGTTTTTGTAAAAGAAGTTGGACCATGAAACAAATCTACTTGAGTAAGTGACTAGGGTCTAAGTCATGCTACAATAGCCTTGATTTTCATTCGGTTCATCTTAATTCCGAATAATAAAATAATGTATCCCAAAAACAAGCCCGTGGTATAAGAAAATATCACTTTTCTAGTCGGCCATATAGCTGCTTTGTTCGAAAAATCTCAATAACTTTGCACAAATGTGTTATATGTGAAGTCTGAATGGGCTAGGTGAGACGCCCAACACCCAGGGAGGCCCCTAAAGCTTAGTAGATGGCATGTAGACACCTAGGGAGGCACTCTAGAGCTTAGTAGATGGCGTGTCGACGACTAGGGAGGTACTCTAGCGCCAGACAACAGGAACCCAACTCTACTGGGAGTGCCTAGGTGCTTAGGAATAGTGCGTCAGGAATCCCGGGACTCAGGAGGGGTGCTGCTGTGCCCGGGCTGTTCTCTGCAACAATGCACTCGGAAACTCAGCGCATGGGGGTAGCACCAAGAAGTTTGTAATCGAATTTCCACAATTCAAGACTTTATATTTTATCTTTTGTTGTGGGGAGTGGGTGCACAAAGTGCTTGTGTTGAAGGAAGGATTTCAAGATTTCTTTTATGCGAGGGAGGGAGAGAGAGAGAGAGGAGTGTTCCAAATTATATAGAGGCTTGAGTGTGGTGTAATATGTGCATTTCTTCTCATTTTTTCATAGTGGATTTCTTGGTATATTTTGGTTCCATGGTTTCTTACCATTCTTGGGGTTTTTCACATTAAATCTTGGGGTTTTTATGTTTTATTATTTTGTGTGCTTCTGTTCTAGGTTTTTCTTTGGATCTCTTGAATCACTATTCTTTATTTCCACATTTTTCCCCATATTGTATCGCAGCGGGATTTTTTTGAAGTTCTTTAATTGGAGTTAGAACAATGATCTATGATGCGGCGTACAAGGTGAAGAAGTTCAATGGTTCGAACTTTTTTTTTCTCGAAAATGCAAACTGTAGATTTATTGTATTAAAAGAAACTGTATTTGCCTCTAGAAGGAATCACCAAACAGCCAGATTTGATGAATCTAGAAGAATGTGCAAGTTCTTGATCGAAAAACACTAAACTTGATCCATCTTTCTCCTTTCTCATTTGTTGCTTTCAACATTGCGAATGAGAAAACTACAATTGATCTTATAGTTGTATTAACAAGAATGTATAAGAAGCATAAAAAAAACAAAGTTTTTCTGATAAGAGATTATCCAATATAAAGATGGTGGATGGAAGTTCAGTGACTAAACATTTAATTAATTTCAGCTATGACTAATCAATTGTGTTTTGTTGGCATCAAGTTCAATGATGATGTCAAAACACTGTTAATCCAATTTTCATTGTCAGATAGTTGGGATTGACTAGTTACTGTTGTGAGTTACTCTTCAGGTAACATTAGATTAAACTTTGATGATATTGTGAGTTTAGTGCTGGAAGAAGTTCACAAGCAGGAAAAGATGCAAGTCAAAGAGAGAAAATTTCAGATCGTGAAGAGGAAATGACCAAGATGGATGTAGAAATTGCGGGAAGGTTATTATAAAAAAACTATAACTCTTAAGAATGTCAATGTAGGGGTTTCATATAGAAAGCTCTCTATAAATGTTTCAAGATTAAATCTAAGCAACTTATTTTGTTCCTATATAGTATTGAATTATAGATAGTGGATTCAGATGCCTTTTTTTATATTTGCTCCAACAAAAAGGTGTTAAAAAAGTATACATAAGGTGATCTTGGAAAGGTGTATTTGAGAGAACAAGACCTGCAGGTTTGTTGGAAAGGGTGTTGTTTATATCGGGTTGCCAAATGGATCATTTGGGAAGCTTAATGAAGTTAGATATGTTCCATATTTGAAGAGAAATTTAACTTTTATGAGTCAGCATTGCAAGGTCAGGGTATGTGGTTCTTTTACAGGTGATTCGTGGAAGATAACCAGAAGTACAACGGTGATGGCTCGAGGCAACATTGAAGGCACTCTTTATTAGATTAATGAGATGTATGAATATATTGATGTTGTTGGAATAAAAGATGGTGCAGATTTATGACACCGTAGGCTTGCATATTTGAGTGAGAAATGTATAAAGTTCCTTATTTCAAAAATAAACTTTAGGGTTTGAAATTAATAGATTAAGATTTTTATGAAGTTTGTTTTTATGACAAGCGAATGAATGTTTCTTTCTCTAAAAGTGGATGGAAGATGAAGTAAAAAAAGTTGGAGTTAGTGCATAGTGATGTATGGGGTCCTATTCTAATTCAGTATATTGAAGATTCTCAATACTTTGTCACTTTCATGGATGATCACACCAAGAAGGTATGGGCGTACTATTGAAACATAAATTTAATGTATTTGAAGTGTTTAAGAAGTGAAAAACCACGGCTGAGAATGAGACAGACTAGAAGTTGAAGTGTCTCAGATCAGAGACTGGTGGTGAGTATCGTGATTAGTGGTTCATGAGTTATTGCGCTTCAAGGGGAATCATGCATGAGTTCACAATTCCAAAGATATAACAACAAAATTGTATTGCAAAGGGCATGAATAGAATTATCACGGAGCGTGTTAGAATAATAAGGTTGCATATCAGATTGCCAAAATAGTTTTGGCCGTAAGAAGCGAACACTGCAGTTTATTTGATTAATTATAGTCTGTTAATACTTTTCAATGAAGACTTAAGATGTCTGGAGTGACAGAGATAAATCTATCTCACCTGAAAGAATTTCGTTGTTCATCACAT